GCTTGGAGCCTATGGTTAGTTAGAGAACGATAATAATGTTTTTTCACAACGATATGAGCGCACCTCATGTCTAGATTTAATTTTATATGGCCTTGCCTATTTTGGGAGGCAAGGCTATGCAAAAATTCATCGCAGAGGACGAACACAGCTCTTATATAAAATCTTCCATCTGTTTGCCGCGGGTTAATACAACAACTACAGGAATTGATATGAAAATATAATCACTTTTAGCAAAATTCTTAGTCTGCGTTTGTGAGAGCGTTTCGAAAATCTAAACTTCCTTCTAAGCCTCTAACTATTCGTGGCTCAGTTAGAAAATGAAAAAAAATGTCTTAGTGAAAAGTACTCTTTACAGAATGACTAAACGATACATATGGGTAGGATAACTATATATATATATATATGAGTTTTGTTCACCCCCAATGATTCAACTACCAGTCCTTAATCACTTTAGACGAAATAAATATATCTGATTAACTGGTTTTCTCGAAAACCTACTTACTTAGGATAACAATAAAGCCAACATTTATTTTGCCGAGTTCCTAAAGGTAAACCTACATTGTAATTAGGTACAGAAGAATGAGAAACCTATGAAGTAAGGAATATTATAAGAAGGACAACTATCCATGTTTACTCAATGAACCCAGCCAAAAAGATAAAGGTGGATATGCCTGTTTTTGTTGTAGTGATTAAAGGATCAAGGCCCATTATAAATGTTAATAATCGACCACATATGCATTAGCATAAATCAGGCAAATCCAAACCCTTTTGCATTCACACACGAAGAATGTGCATACAAAGTATAACCAGCATATTTGGAATATTCTTGTGAAGACTTCTATTTCATATGGAAGTGCACGATGAAGAGATTCGTAGATCATTCTTATCAAAATACGCCGGCTGTTTCGCGCTTTACTACAACCGTTTAGTATTAAAACGAAGTTCAGGTTACTGCAGTCAACGAGACATCCTCTAAAGTTGCCGGCGAAGACGAGCTGGGCTTTCGTTCGTCATATGATGAACTGTGTCAGATTTGGGACTCATTTTTGCCAGAGGCCAAAGTTAACACTAAATAAAGAAGATTGACCAGCTTTTCCCTGTATGATATATATATATATATA